GTTAATTATACGTGACAGTGGCCAACTCGAAAGCTATGCTACTTTGGTCACTGTGCACATTTTACTTTTGATTATTGATGTAATTTACTGTTTCTTATATATTCTGACTTTTATAATCTGTAGTAACCTCTTGAAATAGTGCGAATAAAGAGTTTTAGTTTCAGTTTTCACTTTCAGTTTCTAGGATGTAGAGTTGAAATTTTTGCTAGGATAGATTCATCTCCGAATATTCTGCTAAACACAGTACATATGGTGGTAAAAAGGCTTACTTCTGCAAAGCCGTGCCTCATGACCGAAAGCAAAATGTTTTCCCGTCCGGCCGGACCAGAATCGTCAATAAGCATTTTACCATATGACAACTAAGTGTTGAAAAATCCAACATAAGTAGCACGCGATAGATGGGCACACGCAGCCACACGAGCACAAGAAAAATTCTGCACTTAAAATTTTTCCATTACTCTCTCAAGTCAGAACAAGAGACTCCCACTTCCTTAAAAAACGCGACTTTTTTCTTAGTTCTGTTCTCCTTTAAGTTTTTGCAACAGAGTGACGTGAGAGCAGCAGCGCCGAACGGCTTTTTCCGGACCTTCTCAAGTCAACCCCTTCGGCCCTCCACACGCCAGCGTTCACTGTGGTTTTCTACGGGATTTCGCGAGCGGGGCCCAACGGGTCAAGTAATAAGGAATATTTCTATCTTATGTCCCTTGCGCTAGATATTAAAAAAATAATATAATTTAGCAAATGAATGATCAAGAGTTTTGTCGATGCAAATTGTTTTTGAAGACAAGCACGATTCATCGGCGGCGAAGCGGGGAAAACAGGGGGAGGGCAGTAGCCCCCCAAAAAATAATTTGGGAAGCACAGCACCCTCACGTTTTGTTGTTGAGAGTATCGCTAACGCAGCATAAAATTTTTCAAATTATTCAGTTCGTGAGCATTTTCTTCTATCACCATCGTGCTTGGCGATATCATTGTAATATGTTGTATTATTTCATCGCTCGCAGCGCACGCGGAAAGATAAAGCAGTCATGGAGGCTATTACCATCTCAAATGAAAATGGTCTGAAATAATATTGACGTATTTCACATGAGAAAAAGTTGAAAAGTACCTATATTTTCGATTCTGATCTAAACAAGAATTGATTCATCAGACAGTTTATTGCTAGAGGAAAGAATTGGTATCAAGAAAGAATTTTCTAAATATGTTTTTCTGGTTTATTCAGGAGTTGGGAATTTGAGGGAAAAACATGCAGGTATCATAAGTTTACCTCACCCTTTTTACGATAAAAATTTATGATAAATAATTCCGACAAAAAGATTGCATACGGATCAAACTGTCAGAAGAAAATAGTGTTCTGAGATTACAGAGCACTTATTATTTAATAATTATTCACCGAAGTGGAGTGAATAATGGTGGATATCCGCCCCCACCAACACTGAGGTCGTTTTAAAAAACCCGTTTTCTGGAAATGCGTCGTGCTCACGTAGCAAAGAATGTATGCTCTCGGTCGCGCTATGCTTTTTAGATTTTGCGAATTAGTTTGAATTTCGTAGAAAATTTTCAGGTTATCAATGATATTGTGGTGTTTCGAATAGACCTCCACGCAAGATGAATCAGATTGACAACAATTTAATATAGAGTTGAAAGCAGACATCTAACATGCAATCGTCAGTAGACACCAGGATGGTTTCTTCCCGAACATCCCATAGCTCCTGTAATGTATAAGGCCGCTAAGTATGCTGGGATAGGAGAAAACCATGTGCTTTTGATAGCGGCAGCCATGTTACGTTTGCAATGAAACTAGTTGAGTTAAATCTGTTTGTTTGGATACTTTATTGCTCTTGGGATCATTACAGTTCCTAGCGAACATGCGGTATCCATAACTTCCAGTTTATAAGAACATTTCAGATATAAAACACTTTATAAAAGTCAAAAAAAGGCTGGAAGACCTGATGTTTGTGCTGGGTTGGACACTAAATAGCAAATGGCGCCGTAGCAATTTTTCAGGTTATAATGATACATAAACTTATTTAAAAGCTAAAGAGGCCCGTGAAAGCCGAGAGAGAACCGAGGCGCCTCGCTTTCGTAAGTGTGCAGACTTTACTTGGGTTTTGTTGAAGTCTGCCATGTGAGTAAACTCAACAAAGCAACTTGATCATGTTTTGAGCAATTTAAACATAACGTTATGACACACTCGGAAATTTTTTTAGCACACTGAAGGCCAGAGCAAGAGCTACTAATAATCACAATTACATCTCAAATGTCTCTTGCCCCCTGTGAGCTTGTTGATGACCCTACGACTAACCACGTGTGTGGTGAGAAGCTGTTAAAACGGATGACTGTTCGAAAAAAGTAATCCGTTTATGTCTCCAAAATAAACTAAAAATGAAAATTTGATGGAAAAAAAGAATAAAAACCTCGTAACGGATTAAAATAAAATCGCCTCTCGAAACGCAGGTTAAGCTTGTTTGAAACAGGCGAGAGAAATGTGCGGTCTTTTATAATTTGAATTTAGAGGAAATATTGAAAATCTTCATATATCACTCAATGTGACAGACTGCCGGCGACGAATATTTATCAATTGGTTCGTGCGCGAATGCTGCTTAAGAGTTGCTCTCGGCTGCGCCTCGAGCAACTCTTGCTTCCTCAAGGCTCTCTAAACTTCCCAAGTGCTTCATTCATTTCACGATGAATGTACACTGACGTATGAACCAAATGGTTTATTCGTCAGCTGTGCATTTATCAAGATGTGAAGCACCTGGAAAGTTTCAAGAGCACTCAAGAAGATAGAGTTGCTCTTGGCTGCGCCTCGAGCGACTCTTACGTATCTTATTTGCTCCCAAACTTCCCACGTGCCGCATATCTCGATGAACTCACACCAACGCATGATCCACGCGTTAGTTGAAGTAAATTCGTAATCTTACATAGCTTTGACACAACGTGCGCTCTGATTGGTCAAAAATTCATCACGGATGCGCTGCTAAATAGGCCCTGAGTTACGTGAGGATATTATATCTTGTGCGGAGACAACATCTGATGAATAAACTCTCAGCTTAAGACAAATGGTATCATAGAGCTTGGCTGATGAAAATAAGTCTGAATTTCTATCAGTTTTTTCAACTTTAAAGTCCTTTAAATCCCTGAAAATTCCATGGACATCAGATAGTCAAGTGGAAGTGGAAAATGTCGTGCTACTAACAGTGCAGAAAGTCGAACCCAGGTCTAACGCAGTCCAACCATTTCTTATCTTTCCAAGGCATTTTTAAAGCACTCACTGAAAAGAAAGCTGTTGTCGAGAGTTACAATTGGTGTCGACATTCTAGTCAAAGTATTAACCATTCTGATTGAAAATGACTATTACCGGTGGTTCAGAAATCAAATCCGAGGATGTGAAGAAAAGCCTGATAGTTAACAGTCTCCAACTCAGCGAGAAAGAGGAAAAGTGTTCCTCTGAAGGTAATTCGCCAGGGATTCTTCACATGATAGCTGTCTGCGTCAGCAATGGTCTTTGCGGCTTTATGGTGTTTGTAACATACTCTTTGTTTTCACCATTCTTCCCTCAAGAGGTTAGTAACAATATTTATGAACCACGAATATGATAGAAATTAAGCATATGTTGGTAAATAAATGTTATATTTTTCACAGTTTAATAAGTGACTAGCTGTTATCTCTAAATCAACAAGGAGCTTTCCTCAAAAACCCTGTTAGGGTTGCAGATGTTCTTTTTAAGTAGAATAAATCACTTACCTTAAAATGTATTGGTGCTGTATGGAATCGCGCGTACCAGTTTATCGTGTCCTCTTTCAGTTAAACACTCTTTGAATTTTTCAAAACTTACTCAGTGGTCATATTGATGAAATGCTTCTTGACTGAGTTAGGTCTGACCGGATCGACAGGAACATATTTGCCTCTCGCTCACGACGCACGGACCTCACGCTAAGTATATTTCCGTTCGGCCCTCCTACTCAATCAAACAACACATATTTCATTGATAGATTCGTAACCTAGATATTTTGACTTTGATCATAATTTGATTTTTTTTTCTACAAGCCATTTTCTTTTCTTTTTTAACTATTTGTTCAGGTTCTTGTTTTTGTAAATGATGATTCGCGCTCTTTCTATGATCCTAAGAGAAACATTTCTTTTTCTGGGAAAAACAGTACTAGGCCTTTTCTTTTAAGGTTATACAGACAATACGACAGGCAATAGACGAAATGTGATGAAAGTAACCAAATAAAGATAGAAAACCTTTTTTCCCTCCAAATCTCAATATTTTTCCTCGTTGCAAATCTGACTCAAGACAATAGCGAATCGCGTAAATGGGTTTATTATTCATTAGACTTACGATGGAAAATTTTTTTCAATTTTTGCCAGATCCAATGAGAAACAGTAGAACCTTTTCCTAACCTCCTCCTCTTAGATCAATATCAACATTGTCTAAAAAGTGTTAAAGTACTGGAATTCACACCCATAAGCATAAGAAAAAAATAGCTGTCCTCATTTTAGTCAGTGTATCACCCACTGATTCGGGTTAAAAATGGATCTTAGTTTAGTGACTCAATCCGGTGATCAGAAAAATGGCCTGATTATTGAAAGCCTCCAAGTCAGCGAGGAAGAGGAAAGCTCAAGCTCTGAATGTTGCTCTGGGGCTGTTTTACCTGGGATTCCTCACCACTGCAGAGCAATCCTCCTTAGCAATTGCCTTCTGAACTTCGTCCTTGATTTAAACGCAGAATCTGTGTTTTCATCATTCTTTCCGCAAGAGGTTAGCAATTGTATTTATTGATCAGTTACATATATTATTAGAAATCAAGCCTATACAATATCAAGCATCGATTTTTATGTATTGTATTTTTCTTTTTGGTAAAAAAAGTGTTACAAAAGTGTGGCAAAGCCACTATAAATGTTACGGAGATGAGAGAGTGAGTGAGTATAACAATAAAATTCCGATCCTGATCCGACTTGGACCCGATGTTTCCCGGCGGTTCTAACTGTTTATTTCAGAGTATCTCAGTAGATCGACATTCGCACTTGTTGAGGGTAGCACAAAACTTCGACGCGTTATCCGTAATATTCCTTTAATTTTCGACCATCAAAATTGATAGTATGAACATGTCACGAAAAATCGGTTACAAGACGGTGAAAACTGAGAAAGAAAACAAACAAGAGAACGAATAAACAAAATGAATACCCAAAACAAGCGTCAATCGAAATCCTACTTACATTTTGGGCAAACCAAACGATTAAAAGAAGCGTTTACAGCCCGCAAGAGCTCGTCGATAAGAACACGTGTGAGAAGCTACAGTCCAAAAAACATGTGACCAAACTCAACCTCGTGTATATGTACCGAAACGCAACGCAACAAAAAAAACAAGAACAAAGGAAAAACGTCTCTAAGTTCAACAAAACATTCCGCCCGCCTTGGGACGATTCGGTTGGACGATCGCCCAAAACTCCTGGTTCAGCTCAAGTTTAGGTCTTCCCAAAATCATTTTCCAGTAGGCACAGCTTCTGAATCGGGCGTATGAACACGGAGTCTTTCGATTTGACTCTCGCTGTGCGTACCATTCGATCCGGTCCAGGGTAGGTCTTCAAGACCCGTCCAAGACTCCAATGCCCTCTTGGTGCGTTTTCATCAAACAATAGGACCAGAGCATTTGGTTTTAAATTGGGCAGGGCTTTGCGCCATTTACCTCGAATTTGCAGGGTTGGCAGGTATTCCCGTAGCCATCGCTTCCAAAACAGGTCTGCCAGGAATTGGACTTGCTTCCATTTCCTCCGGTAGTTATCAGCCTTCTCGAACGCGCTTGGAGGTAAGCAGATGGACTTTCTTTGCATCAGAAAATGCGCAGGAGTGAGCGGCTGCAAGTCGTTTGGGTCATCTGAGTTGGCAGTAAGTGCTAGGCCATTCAGCACTCGTTCGACTTCCGTGAAGAGAGTTTCAAGAACTGGCTCTGTCACTACTTGAGTCCCGACGATTGCCTTTAGAACTGTCTTGGCACTGCGCACCATCCGCTCCCAGATCCCCGACATGCTAGAGGCGGTAGGGAGCTGAAAGACCCAGTTGCAACCTCTTTATAGCAATTCCCGATCAATCTGTTGCTGGTTCCACGACTTAAGCGCTTCTCTCAGTTCCCTTTCAGCTCCGACGAAATTTGAGCCTCGGTCGCATCTTAGTTCAATCACTTCACCGCGACGGTTAATGAATCTTCGTAGACACAGTAGGAGGTCGTTCGTACTTATCGACTGAACCAATTAAAGGTGGACTGCACGAGTATTTAAGCAGGTAAACAGACAACACCAGCGTTCAGCTGTTCCTCTTCCCTGCTTTACATTTAAGGGCCCAGATAGGTCCATGCCTTAGGTTGATAGGCCATCATGCGACTTTTCGGGAGAGGAGCCATTTGCTGAGTCATCGGCTTCGCATTCAACCTCTTGCACAGGATACATCGTGCGAGGATGGATCGAGCCTTTGCTATCAGGTGCTGGCGGCTAAGGTGGCCGATCGATTCGGGGATATGACGGACAATCATGGCTGTTACTGGGTGATTTCGTGGCAGAATCACCTGATTCCTAGCAGCGTCAGCGACAGGCGGTGATGTTACACGCCCTTTGACTCAGTATACCGTGGTCATCAAGAACTGGATTCAGGCTGACAATGTTACTGGATGACTTAACTTCACCTCTGGCCTTCAGGTCTTTAACTTCTTTGGAATAAGCTGAACTTTGGATAAGTCTTGCGATGACTACGGCAGCAGCATTATAGTCCTCTAAGGCAAGGTGGCCCTTCTGAACAGTCTCCCGATTGCAAAGGAAGTGAATGAAGCGAATAAGCCAAGCCACTTAACGTCTGAGTCGATTCCAATCGGAGCAAATGAATAAAGGCTGATAGTTTCGAAAGAAACTGTTTGGGGCTGCGTCGGTGGGAGTAACGAAATAATTTGGATATATCAACAAAGTTGAAATGGTAAATTAGCCACCGTAATGATTACAAAAGCTGACGTTTCGAGCGTTAGCCCTTCGCTCCGACGAAGGGCTAACGTTCGAAACGTCAGCTTTTGTAATCATTACGGTGGCTAATTTACCATTTCAACTTTGTTGATATATCCAAATTAATCCAATCGGAGCAGCCACTTAGTATCCGATGGATGATACACTGGGATATAACAGTTGAAGAATTCTCAGAAAGCGGTTCTGGTTGTTTAGTACGGAGATCGGTGCATTTGTCGTAAGGTTAGCGTGGGTGACCTTTGTCAGCTTTGATACTTCAACTGGAACCTCCTTAAGCTCTGCATTGGGCCAGACAGATTCTGGCTGCCAGAGGAATTCCGGCCCTCGTAACCGACGGTTATTTGAGCTCAGCTGTCAGGGGTTCAGCCCACGTGAGACATCATCAGCTGGATTTAAGGTACGCGGTACATGATTCTAGTCATCGGGTTTTGAGTTTTCTCTGATTTCTTCTACGCGATTGGCGACATAGGTTTGGAATCGGCGCTTCTCATTTCTTAAGTAGTGGAGGACTATTTCACTGTCGGTCCAGTACTTGGTTTCTCGAAAGCACAGATCTAACTCTTCTCTCAGCATCTTATTTAGGCGTGTAGCCAGGACAGGTGCTTGTAGTTCAAGTCTTGGGATGCTTGTGAACTTAATAGGAGCATTTATTGCCTCGCCCATCACGAATGAACAGTGGACGGGGACGTCAGGATCCTGAATTCTCAAGTATGCAGCTGCTCCATACCCAGCTTCCGAAGCATCGGAGAAGATGTGTAGCTGTAGTTTACACCTCAGCGCATCAAATCTGGGGGGAAAGTAACAACGCGGGATGCGCAATTCTGACAAGAACTGCAGCTGTGTTGTCCAGGATCTCCATCTATTTACGAAGTGTTCATTAAGTGGTTGATCCCAATCTAGCTTAGCCATCCATACATCTTGTATCAGCGCTCTTGCCGTGAGGGCTACAGGTGCAGCAAAGTCAAGGGGATCATACAGAGAACAGACGGTAGATAGGATCCCACGCTTTTTCTCGGGGCGAGTTACATTTTTAATTTCAAAACCTAACTGATCTGTCTCAACAAACCAACGTACTCCAAGAGCTCTTTCCACTGATAATTCATCCAGGTCAAGATTCAGTTCTGGTTTGGCTCTTCTTTCGGCAGGTATTTTGGACAAGGTGTCTTTGCTATTTGATATGAACTTTGTCAAGCGAAATCCACCACTTCCTAACATTTCTGCCAAGCTGGATGCTGCTCTGGCTGCCAAGTTCTCGTCTTTGAAAGACGGTAAGGCATCACTGACATAAAAATTCTTCTCAACAATGGCAGTGACTCCCCTCTCAAACCTTTCAGCATTGTCGGCAGCTGTTCTCCTCAAGACAGAGTTTGTAACGCAAGGAGAGGAGGTAGCACCGAATATGTGCACTTCCATGACATAGACGTCTGGGGGCTACCCATAATCATCAGTCCACCATAAGAAACGTAGAGCATCTTGGTCTGGTTTTCGCACCCTTACTTGGTGGAACATAGCTTCCACATCAGCGGCCAGCCCAACCTTTCCTTGCCGAAAGCGCAGCAGCACCCCAATGAGACTTTTGGTCATGTCTGGGCTTTGGATAAGCTTCTTGTTTAGGGATGTACCCTCAAACTCAGCTGCGGCATCGAAAACGATGCGAAGCTTTCCAGGTTTGTTGAGATTGATTACTGGGTGATGAGGCAGGTACCAGGTGTATGAAGTCTCCATAGCTGCTTGTTCAGGAGATAGTTTTCGGGCGTAGCCTTTAGAGATATACTCATCCATGACCTCGCGGTACTTGGCAGCAAGCTCCCGACTTTCAGGTTTTGTGAGGCGTCGCCGAAGCAGTTCCAGTCTCCTTTTGGCTAGGGTGTAGCTGTTTGGCAGCCGTGGCTCATCTTCCCTCCACAAAAG